CCTGGGATCCTAACTAACTGGAAGACTAGAGCAGAGGACCACAATGGCAATACCCTGTTAAAAACAAAACAAAACAAAACAAAACAAAACAAAACAAACAAACAAAAACAATCATCATCATAACAAACAAAACAAAACAAAACAAAACCCTCTTATTAAAGAAAAGTTTACAGTCATTAAAGTCAGTCAGTTCTCTTACCTACTAATTCTACTGGGAAACTGTTCTAAGGAAAAATTGTAAAAGATGGAAAAAAATTTTAGGGACTGGTGTATTTAACAGTGTGTTTTGGAAAACAGAGCAGCATTGAAACAATATAACTGTACCACAGTGGGGAAATGGTTATATGAGTTACAGGGAATTCCTACAATGGGATAATATGTCTTATTACAACATGATTACAATGGTAGTTACAAAGAGTTTAGTAACAAGGAAGAATACTTGTATTGGTCAGGAAGTAATTTCACTGTGCAGTAGGGTGAACACCAGTGACCCCTCTTGTTTAGAGCAGAGGGTATAATTGGTGTCCAGGCATTGCTGTGCTCAAGAAAATCCTGGAAGAGACCGACAGTGCTTTGCGAGCTCCTCTCTAGAGGGCATGGGTTAAGGAGAATATAGTCCATGCTGCAAAAGACTATTAGAAAGCTAATTGTGCTTCTCCATTTGTGGTTAGGGAAACTCAACCTCAAGAGAGAAAGGTCTTGGGAACCAGCAGTTAGCGTAATGGCTATGTTGCTGAACTCCCACGTAGTCAACCGCGGTTCGTGTCCCGGACCCGGTGGCTTAAAACTCACACCGGGCGCCTGTGTGTGCGTGCCCAAGATCCCGAGAGGAGAATGGAGGAGAAGGGATTGCGGCGTGACCATCCCCTCTGGGGGGGTGATTTCTTGCTTTCTGTCTCTATGTCTCTCTCTGTCTGGCGAGCGCACGCGCCCTATAGCAAAAACCTCTCCAAAAAAAAAAAAAAAGAGAGAGAAAGGGTCTTGCCCCCAGTTGCATAGGAAGCCAACAACAGAGCAGGGAACCTGAATTCGGTTATCCTTCCTTTGCAGGCCATGGGGCGTGATCTCAGATGCACCAGCAATAGAATTATCAGGCCAAGATGGTCCCAGGAAGTGAGAGAAGCTAGGTAGGACTCTAGTGAGAATCTGAATATGGGCCAAAAGGGCTCTTGGAAAATTCCATGTTATTCTCTGAATCTCACAGGAGTAAAAGCAATACTGTGATGAGGAAATGTGATTCTCCAAGTCCCCCCCCTCAAGAAGGACTGAGTAAAGAAGTATTTGTAAGAAGGAGGCTGATGCTCTGTGTGGGGAGGAGGGTCATTAGTAGCTCCCAAATCCACATATAAAATTGACTCTCCATACTGAGTGAAAGAAAGGAAAAAACTAAACATACACACATAACTGGAGCACTAAATCCAAGTCTAAGTTGAAATGTCTGGAAGTCTGGGGGTCTTTGATCTGCTCTGTGCTTTGTCGTGTGATATGACCAGCTAGAGAGAAAAGAAAGTCCTCTTTCTTTTGCTGTTTCCTGAAAGAGCTGTTTGCTCAAAGACTTTGTTTCTGGCTGTAAATTATGAGCTTTTAAGGGCCTCAGAGGTTGTGCAACCCTGAGCACTCCACACACTGTGGGGACTCCAGTCAAGTAGATGGAGAATGGTGAGAGAAGAAAGCAAGGAGGATAGATTACTTTCTAGGATTTAACCATTTCTTTGAGAATGGAATCATAAAGGAGAAGAAGACCTGACTGAAATTCTAAGACATGGAATCCAGAATTCAGCCATGGATGGAGAGTTCAGACAGCCTAGTTTTAGCCCCAACTCTAATACCTATTACAGTGGAAAGAGCCCCGGCTAGGGGTCTAGATACTGAAATAACCATTGAAAAGGAATGTACTACTGCTGTGTGAAAATGCCAAAATCTACAGAAAGGGCTGAATCTGGTACTTGATATATGACAGGTAGATACTAAGTAATAGCTATGAAGTAAAGGGGCTAGAGGTTCAAGGTCTGCAGTCAGACTGGAGACTAATCCTGGTGTCATCTCTTTTCTTGAGCAAATCGTTCAGTTTAGAATAATAGATTCTATTCAGTCTGCAAAATGGGAATATTGGGTGTTGTCAGAATGAATTTAGACAAAGTATTAGTACTTAGTAAAGTACTTAGTTACTGGAACAAAGTAATGTGTTCCCTTGATTGTGATGGTGATGTCGTAGCCTGCATGTGAGGCTGTCTCTGTTCTTGCTCTGCAATCCATGAGAAGCTAATATCAGCACTTGGTTAATCTAAATATAGTAATGAAAAGACAAAATAATAAAACTCTTTGCCAGACATTCAAGAGCCTTCCCATTTCATTCTTTCATTCCCATCTCCCTTTATAGCTTCACTATTACCATTCCCTCACCGCATACTCTATGATCCAAGCAAATTAAATTGTCTGCCATTCCCCCAAATCCTGAATGGTTTCATAGCTCCTTTCTTTGCTTTTGCATTTTATTCTGCTCCCAGAGCCTGGCAAATCCTACTCCTTCAATAAGACTGAATTCAAATGGCTTCCCCCTCAATAAAGCCTTTCTCCCTGTATCTCCTCAAATCATTGGTTATTCTCTCACAGGGCACCCACTATGTTCCTTTTAAGTGATAGAATTATTATTATGTACTACCAAATCCTCACCTCAGCCACCTTAAAGGAGAGGTGAGTCCTCATTAGTTTCCTTAATTTTGCTGAGTAGATTGATAGGTATAAATGCAAATTTTGTAAGCTGAGAAGGCGTTAAATTGTATTCCTAACTGAAATAAAGAGAAGCTTGGAAGATAAAATGGTGAGGGTTAAAAAAAAATCTTTAAAAAATAGTGGAGCAGAGGGACAGAGAAAGAAAAGAGAAACATGGAAGATAAGGCTACTATTAGTTTTGAATGTGAAATCTGCAAAGAGTGAACTTGTGTTCTATAGGTAATGGACTGCCATAAATGAATCTTGATCATGAAAGCAAGACATAGTCATATTTGTGTAGGAGACTCGTTCTGGGAATAAGGATGATGGAGAGAAGGAGAGTAGCAATTTGATTGTGAGCAAGGGTAGTGTTTCCGGAAGTTGAACCTCAGCCTGGACTAGCCTAGAGAGGATGTACAGTTTATGAAGGCCCAGGGAGTGTAAGCATGAGGACAGAGCCCTGGAGGAGGTGTCCCTTCCAAAGTATAAGCAGGAATTTGAACATATCAGGGGAAGAAGAGGAGGAGGGGGAAGAATTAAAAGTCACAATTATATTTACCCTAGGGAAGGTTCCCAAAGGAAAGTATAGAGAAGGTGGCCAATGTAGGCACCACTAAGAAGGTGATATTTGAGCACAGATTTGAAGTAAGTGAGAGAATGAATGACTCAGATCTCTAGAAGAAGGCCCAGCCATGATGGCACATGCAGTTAGATACTGCAGGCAGCAATTGGTCAGTAGTGCACAGTACTGGAACCATATGGGAAGACTGGAGGTTTGGATCTCAGGTCAACTTGCACACACTGGATGCATAAGTGATCTCAGCTGACTGGAAGACTGAGGGTAGCATCACAACATAACAAGAGTATAATTCTCTCTCTCTCTCTCTCCCCCTCCCTCCCCCCCCCCATGATTCCAGGTAGAGGGAATAGCATGTGCAAAATCGCTGAGGCAGGAAGCACCTGCTGTGTTGCAGGAACAGTGAGAACAGTGAGGAGGTCAGTCCTGACAGAGGAGGCAAGAGGGACAAGATGGAGCCGAGGACAGAGAGGGTGACACAGGCAGACCACATGGGCATTTGGAGCCTATTGTAAGGACCTGAACTTTTGTGCTGTGTGTGACAGGGAATCATTTGAGCGACGAAGGACATGACCTGACTTATGCTGTAAGAGAATTACCCTGTAATAGGTAAAAAATTACCCTGTAAAGTGAAAATATAGAGCGTGCGGAAAATGGAGAATGGAAAGTGGGGTAGAAAGAAGAAAAGATAGATGGGACCAGCAGTTAGTGTAATGGCTATGTCGCTGGACTCCCACGTAGTTGACTGCGGTTCGAGTCCCGGACCAGTGGCTTAAAACTCACGCCGGGCGCGTGTGCGTGCGTGCCCAAGATCCCGAGAGGAGAATGGAGGAGAAGGGATTGCGGCATGACCATCCCCCTTGGGGGGGGATTTCTCGCTTTCTATCTCTCTGTCTCTGTCTGTCTGTCTGGTGAGTGCACGTGCCCTATAGCAAAAACCTCTCCAAAAAAAAAAAAGAAGAAGAAAAGTTAGAAACAAGAAGCCCAGGTAAGAGATGATTATTACAATACTTGGGACTTTGGTCCAAGCTCAAGGTGGTATCAGTAGAAGTGATTAAAAGGTATTGGGTTCTGAATATATTCTGAAGATAGAGACAATGGGTTAGCTATAGGAGTGAGACAAAGAAGAATAAAGGGAACACCAAAGGCTTTGGTCTGGGCTTTTCTTTGAACTATCTTGTGTGGAAGATGTACATGTATCTATGGGTCATAGTCTATGGATGCCGAAGCGACGCTGCTCCACAGGAATATTTCTGATCCTCTCTGTGATTCATTTTCTTTTTCTGTAAAGTCAGAATTACAATAATAGTGACTTCATTGTGTTAGTGATAGCAATGAATTAATTTGTACACGTAAAGGGCTTAGAGCTATCTCTGGAGGGGCTGGCAGGTGGCATGGGAGTTAAGGGTGCTGGACTCCCACATGGCTGACCATGGTTCCCAGACCTGGAAGATTTTTTTCTCACTTTCCTCCTCTCTCTGTCTCACTTTGTTACTCTCTGGTTGAATTAAAATAAAGAAATTATTATTATTATTATTATTATTATTATTATTATTATTATTATTATTTTTGAAAAAGAGGTTTGCTTTTGTTTTTAAAAAGAACTATCTCTGGAAAGTAATAAATGTTAATTAACTGGCATAATTACTGTTCCTACTGTGTGTAAGAAGATCTCCTTGTGTGATCTGTACTGACTTTGGGTACTGTCCAGGTGCTCTCTGATGGGATTTGACCTGAATCGACACTGGCTGGATCCTTCTCCATGGGCCCATCCTACCCTCCATGGAGTGAAACAACTCATCATCCAAATGTACAACGATCCAGTGAGTAACTGAATGCCTTGATCTTATGGCTTGACCTGAGAAAGGAGATGTTGTATTGGGAAAGTTCACTAGGAGCAAAAATTGGGAATAACTGGTCAAAGTCAGGGAGGACAAGACCTCCTTATTTCTAAACTTGATTGACCCAAGTACCTTCTCACAATTCCTCCTTCCCCACCCTTCAAAAATATTGGGTTCAATTGTGTAGGACTTGTGGAATGAAGGAAATATATTGGAGCATATTCATATTTGCTCAGGCTCTTTGCTTACATTTGGAGCAAAATAGAGAATTTATTTGAAGAGTGCTAGGGATATGTCATAAACTTGGCCTCTGCCAAGTGTCACACCTAGTGGCTCCCACTACTACTTTGACTTACTTTCATTCCACAGTTCTAGTTCCAAAAAGATTGTAATGGTGTGGCCATCCACCCTGGAGGAGTGATTTCTCTCTCTCTCTCCCTACATCCCCCCCACACACACACATTCTATGTCTAAAAGAAAGAAGAAAGAAAGAAAGAAAGAAAGAAAGAAAGAAAGAAAGAAAGAAAGAAAGAAAGAAAGAAAGAAAGAAAGAAAGAAAAACAGAGCAGCCTCATTGGAACCACATGGTTGGAATTGGGGATAGGATGGTACCTATTCCCAAAGAAGAGTACCTATTATTCTAGAAGAAGAAAGGGAGACTAGAAAGACAGAATAATGAGTGTTCACACCAAGTTTGTTCACAAAGGCAAGTTCTTGTCTGTAAGAAATAGAACAATACATTGGAGGTTCATAGCTTAGAGAAAGGAGGCAGATCACAATCATTCCATCTCTGAAGAACTATCAGAGGAAGGATAGGACAGACCTTTCTTTAAGTGAGAGGCATGGGAAGAGATAGAGACTATAGAGAAATAGAATTTTTTAACAATTAGTTCTATCTAAGAATGGAGTGATGGTGTGAGCTGTGAGCTTTGACCTACTAAAAATGTTCAACTTTGAAGCTAAATGACACTGTCAAAAATGGTGCATAGAGGAGACTCAATTGTTTGGAAGACATTCTAGTGAAATTGCGTCTGAGTCCCATCCAACTCTGATGACTGATTTCATGGCCCTTTGACTGCTTTTAGGTGGCAGGTGGTAATTGCTAACACTGCAAAGGTCCCAGAGTTGGGGTCCTTCAGAGATGTACCAATGCAGCTATAAGATGTCAGTAAAAATATCCAGAATTGACAAGAAACAAAACTGTGTGCTTAAAAATAAATACAAATATTAGAGCAAGAATTAATGAAAAAGTTAATCCTTAGGTGTGATATAGTTATCTTGGTTATGAAACTCAACAGTTATCTGGATCTTTCCATGGGACTTTTTGCTTTCCTAGGTCTTTTTATAGCCTCCTTCCTGTGTCAGGGCTTACACAGTTATAGCTTTAGTTTGTTTGTTTCTTTTTCCAGCTTTTTTTTGTCTACCAGGGAAGGTATTAACTATACTCACTAATTCCCTTTATTCCCTGACCTCTCAATATCATCCTGATTAGTTTTCCTTGCAGAGAGAGCTGCTTCTGGTTTTCTCAGGAAGTACCAGTATTTCTCTGAGTTCTGCCCTCTCAGGCTCTATGTGTACTACAGTTTTCCTGATAAGAGTTGCAATGCCCTCTTCTTTTGCTGCCTCCTTCATGAAGAGAACAGCCTTTACTTTTTTTTTTTTTCTATCAGGCTGATAATAAATAGTAGTTGTTTGTTGAGTTGAATTGCACTGAACTTGACAAATTCTATTATTGCCAAACATAATATGGTTTATAGATACAAAGCAGTTATTCACAGAGAGGATGATGAGGAGTGGTAAATAACAACAGACACTGAGCCAGAAGAAGGGATAGAGTGGGAGCCAGTGAGCAGAGTGGTGCTTTAGATGAATCCCCAAGGAGAGACTGAGGGAGGGACCCAAGGCTAAGGTTACTAAAGAGAAAAAAGCTTCAGACTGCCCATGCTATCATCAATTAGAAGTTACTGATTTGCTGACAAACAGCTGGGTACTCCTCTATGCTGCAAAGCACACATCAGGCAAGACTGAGGAACAGAGAAATTAGAAAATTATTTGTGCCAGTAATGGATTGATTAGCAGTTTTCTGGATCCTAATAAATACAGTTTGGATGTTGAGCTCATTGTATAAGCCAGTTTCTCCTGAAAGTCCACTCCTTTGTGACTCAAGCAGGGACACAGGACACCAAAAGAGAATCACACTGACCTGGAATGGGATCCCAGTATCTGGGCTTTCTTCCTCCTTTGCCTGTTCCCTCTCTCCTCACCCAATTTTTTACTCCATTCTTTCCTTTTGTCTTTCCACAAATCACTTACCATGTTCTAGGTCCTAGGCACTGCAGTTCTTTTTTATATTTTTAATTTTTTTGGAAAGGTTTTTGCTATAGGGCATGTGCGCTCGCCAGAAAGACAGAGAGAGACAGAGAGAAAGAAAGCGAGAAATCAC